CTCTTTTTTTTGGTTTTTTTTTTTTTTTTTTTTTTTTTTTTTTTTTTTTTTTTTTTTTTTTTTGAGAGAGGTCTTGTTACACAGTTCAATCTGGCCTTGAATACACTATGTGGCCTAGGCTGGCCTCAAACTCATGGCAATCTTCCTGCCTCAGCCTCCTGAGTTTTTATAGATTTACTTTACAGGGTATGATTTCATGAGAAGGGCCATAAATTTCTGAGTTTATTGTACTGACTGCTTATTAACTGTGCTGAGGGTGCTGCACAAGTCCCAAAATGAGTGAGATGTATACTGCAAAGGTGTCGTATCTTTTTGGGAGGAGAGAAGCAAAGAGAAAAGGGAAACCTATACATGGGTACTTTGAGAATGGAGAAGAACTTGTCTATTATCATGTATTAATTTTTCATGTGTTTATTTATTTTTAGTCGGGGAAATGTCCGATGAGGAGATCAAAAAGAAGACACTTGCCTCAGCTGTAGCCTGTTTAGAAGGGAAGTCTCCAGGGGATAAAGCAGCAATCATCCATCAGCACCTTGGCCGAAGGGAAATGACAGATGTGATTATTGAGACCATGAAGTCCAACCCAGGTACGCTCTCTGAAACCCTGGATTCTCTTGTAATGTAGGCCTCTGGTTACCTGTTTTACACAAGTTGTTTGATGAGTCCACTATGTTGACCTTTAGCATACTTTTATTTTTCACTGCCCATGTGCTTTATGTGAGTTTGATTGTTGTTGTTTCGGTTCTTTATTGTTTTTCTGAGACAGGATCTCACTATGTACTTCAGGCTGGCCTTAAACTCAAGCAATCTTCCTACCTCAACCTCCTGAGGCTTATCTGATCCTTCTTAAGCCATATTTTGCTGCCTCTAAATTTTTTTTCTGAGTCAGGCATGGTGGTCCACACATGTAATCCAAGTTATTCAGGAGGCTAAAACAGGAAGATCAGTTGAGCCTAGGTGTTCAGAGTCATAGTATGAGCAACATAATGAGACCTTGCCTCAAAAAATATATGGTTGGTTAGTTAATTCATCCTAACAAGTTGGATTTGCCACTATAGTCAGTGAGGGGAGAGCTCCTTACCACCTAAGTGAGCAGCAGATCATGAATGTGTCCAGATAAGTGTATTGTGCCTCCCCTTGCTCTACCAGCTTACTCCAGCTGAGGGGGTGACTGTGTTCTTTGTCTCTCGGGGTGGTCAAAACTGGTAGATTTGGTTTCAAATGCAATAGCCCTGGTTGTTTGTCTTACTTAGGAGTACGTGATGGAAGAGGCCTGCTATATTACGCTACTACTGGATGTAAGAGCTCTCCTTGAGTTTCTCAGTATTGAGATTTTCATGGGGGAAAAGGCACTTAAAGTTGGGGTGACCCTTAACTCAGCTGTTCTGTGAATTCAGTTTTGAATGCAATACTTTACACATCCTCTGTCAGAGTTCATTGTTCTGACTTGTATTTTAACCTAATTAGAATCCTTCAACATATTTACAACTGTTTATGATCTTCTAATTTTTGATTGTTAAAAGATACAATGGAAGGAAAGGAGTCTTCAGAAGCGTCTCTCCCTGTGCAGAAAAATAGAGATCAGAATAAAGAATGCATAAATGTAGCTCCTGAATCTCCATCCAAACAGCTTCCAGACCAGATCTCATTCTTCAGTGGAAATCCTTCAGTTGAAATAGTTCACGGTATAATGCACCTATACAAGACAAAGTAAGGAAAATCTTTTTCCTTTTGGGTTGCTCTGTTTTTTGCCTTGGAGTAGAGAAAAACTCTTGGCCTTTTATGTACTGTGTATGAGGGAATTCTTAGATATTTTACATTCTTTTGATTTTGTGGATAAGAACAAAACTCTTTCTTATGAAAGAAACATGTATTAGTTAAGAAAATATTACCTTAGCAGTTAGGCATGGATGGTGGTTGGGGAATTGAAATAAAAACAAGCAAAAAAAAAAAAAAAAAAGATCCATAATATCATATTGTCCCATACCCCCACCAAATCTTTACTAAAGAAAATAAGGAGTCAGTTAATGGTGTTACCTCTTTTACTTTATTGTGGTCCATACAAAGCTTGCCAGAGACACAGAGAAAGAGGAACATTTGGCTAGATAATCAAGGAGGTGGGCCATGAGCCTCTTGGTAACTGGTATCTGATCTCTTAAAGGCTGTCCTTGTTCTAACTTGTTGGCCAGGTCCCTCCTGGGAAAACAGCTGTCAAGTGAATTTGTAGCATTTTAAAAGCAAATGAAGCGGAGCTGGTGGTGCATGTTTGTAATCCCAGCACTTGGGAGGCAAGGCCAGCTTGGAGTATATAGTGAGTTCAAGGCCAGCCTAGGCTACATAGCAAGACCCTGCCTCAACAAACCAAAAAAAAAAAAAAAAAAAAAAAAAAAAAAAAAAAAGTAATTGAATTGTGAAGGATTTTTCTTTCCCCGCTTCTAGCTATTCCAGCTCAACAACACTTTCTGTAATCTTTAATCTCATCCTCATGATTTAGAATTTTTCTAGATTTAGAGCTCTTAATTTCATCTAAACCACTTGAGAGAAGTCACAGCTAGATATGAATTACTCAACAACAGATTATTATTCAGAAAATAATAGAATAAAGCACAAACTGAATTTTCATAGTACTAATTTGTGACCATAAAATGCCTTTAACTAAAGATTGAAAATTCTGTTGGGTGTGTAATATAGAATATTTTAAAGCTTGCCTTAGTGTCTACTGAAGATGTTTGGGAATTTTGAGTTTTTTCATCTCTTGTATAATTCAAGCAAAACAACAAGATATTTAAATTGATTTGTGAAGTATTACAAGTTGTATTTTTCCCATTTTTTTGACATAAGTTATCTAATTAGTGTTAATTGAACTCACCATACCTCATCTATTCAAAACAATCTAATTATTGTCTTATTAGTAAGATGACCTCCTTAAAAGAAGATGTGAGGCGCAGTGCCATGCTGTGTATTCTCACAGTCCCTGCTACAATGACCAGTCATGATCTTATGAAGTTTGTCGCCCCATTTAATGAAGTAATTGAACAAATGAAAATCATCAGAGACTCTACTCCAAATCAATATATGGTGCTGATAAAGTTTAGTGCACAGGTAAAAGTTAAGATATTAAAAAATCTCTTTGCCACAGAAACTCAATAATTGTGTGATACTAGCAGTGTATGATTTACAATGTTTTGCATGTAAAGTTCTTGACATGTATCTTGTAGGGTACTCTTGTAACCAGAGATGTGTTTCTGGATTCATTAGTAGAAATACAACTGTTATTCATACCTGTGTGTTTTTAATGCATCTTTTTGGCTATGAAATCTGAGTTTTATCTGTTTATCCAGTGATAACTATACTCGTAAAACTAATTCACAAACTTTTTGAAATAGACACTGTCATTTGCCATTACCCCTACTTCTTTCATTCTGTTTTTATAAGGTGCTCTTTGATATATTTTAGAAAATCTTTTTTTGGGGGGGTGGGGGGAATAAGAGGGATTTTGTGGCATTCTTTGAAGTGTTAAAGATGCTTTACAGTCCTGATTGGAAATCACTGCAATAGAAGATTGAAAGAAAGGTGTTATTTTCAGTTTTAAAAGTGCGTGTACATTATAATAGTTTCTGTATGATGCAGAAAGGTCTTACCTTCCCCTCCATTTCACTCACTGTGTTAGGCACCTCTGTTCTACAGACATTAGAAAAGTATCCTGTTGGTTTTGCCTACTCATTCTTTTGAGATGTATGTTTCTCTTTCTTTTTCTTTTTGGTACTGGGGATCAATCTTAGGACCTTGTGCTTGCGAGGCAGGCTCAGTGCTGCTGAGCTGAATCCCTGGCCTGAGCATGTATGTTTCTGTATGAGTAAGCTTTAGGTATTCAGTTATTCTTTTTTTTTTTTTTCTGTGAATTCAGTTACTCTATTCTTTTGTTCATTCAATTTGTATTTTCTGATAATAGCTTGTTGTATGTGTCCATTGGAATTTCTTTAAGGTTTGCAGTGCAGCTTTGTCATAATTTCTGTGTCACCTCAGTGATAAATAGCCTCTTGAATTTGCCCCAAATAGTTCCTAGCTAGATGCATCACTGAGGTCATTTGCTGTTGCCTCTGACCAGTTGCCCAGGTTTGTGAGTGAAAGGGAGCCCATGGCTCTCTCCTTCCTCATTACAGAACTCCAGCAGTGGTAGCAATGGCAGCCATTCAGTGGCCATGTAGAGGAAGTCAAGAGAAATGATAGTTGGAATATACTCGTACCTGTTCTGTAGGTCCCGTTAAGTGTGGAGTTCTGTGTACAAGAAGGCACACAGTTACTATCTTTAACCTTTATGAAATACCCCATCATTAAAACACATTTAAAATGTGTTTCAAATGTCCTGCGGACTTAGACTTCACAAGTTAGCAGTGAGAACAGAAAACCACTTAACTCCTCTTACTGTCAACAGGCCTTCTGAGTACTCTGAGGAATTTTGAAGCTCTGGGGAAGTGACATCTTAAACTTGGTAGCACATATGATAATAATATAATAGGTAACTTTTATTAGCTGGGTGTGGTGCTACACACATGTGATCCAAGCAATTGGGAGGATGAGGCAGGAGGATTACTGTGAGTTGGAGGCCAGCCTGGGCTACATAGTGAGTTCAGGGCCAGCCTGAACTACAAAACAACCTTAAAAAAATGGGTACGATGGCACACACTTGTAATCTCAGCACTCAGAGAGGCTTGGGCAGGAGGGTTACAAATTCAAACCCAGCCCAGGCAACTTAGCAAGACCTTTTCTCTTTTTCAGCTTGTGTGTGTGTGTGTGTGTGTGTGTGTGTGTGTGTGTGTGTGTGTGTGTGTATTACTGGGGATCAAACTAAGGACATTGCCCTTGCAAGGCAGGCAAGGTGCCACTGAGCTAAATTCCCGGTCCAGCAAGACCTTTTCTCAAAATAAAAAAGGTCTGGGAATATAGATCCATGCAAAGGTCCTAGGTTCAATCCTCAGTACTAAGAAAAAATGTAATAGTCTGAAGTTTAATAAACCCACCACACTAACCTATTTAGTAAACCCACAAACTTCCTTGTAGCAGGTGCCACTCTTTTAATGTGCAGGTGATACCGTGAATGTTTTCTGTTGCTTTTGGATTTTATTTATACATCTGCACTATCCTTTCCACTTCTGTCTTGTTTGTTTTGTTTTGAGTTCTACTATTTATTGCTACTCCTGGATCTTAGGTTCTGATTCTAGCCTATCAAGGTCCATCCTGACAAGGACTAAGTCCTAGTAACCTCTTGGCATAAGACCTGAAGTTGTTAAATTACTACCAGGCTCTAATGAGAACATAGACTCAATAGCTCAGCTGACTGTTGAGCACTTACTAGATGCCAGACCCTCTTCTATGTACTTTTCATTTATTAGCTCTTTGAATCCTTTCAGCAATGCCACAAGACATGTGTTGGTACTTTTCCTTTTCACTAGGAATTAGGAAATAAGAAATAGGCATAGATAATTTACTTACCAAAGTTGTTAGGTAAGAAGTATCAGACTTAGGATTTAATCCCAGGCAGACTGACTATATCCTGGGCAGCTATCTACATTATTACTCTGTTCTTTTTATTACCAGGGAATTTTTCATAGACCACTGTGTCTTTTGCAGTCTCTTGGGTTTCTTTTGGCCTTAGCTTTGTGTTGGACGTTTTATAAAGAGATGTGTGTACCATATGAAGCTAGGTGTGGTGGTACATGCCTGTAACCCCAGCACTTGGGTTTTCTTGAGGCTGAGGCAGGAGCATTGCTGGGAGTTCAAGGCCAGCATGGGCTCAATGTAATAAGTTCAAGGCCAACCTGAACTACATAGCAAGTCTCTGTCTCAAAAAACAAAAACAACCCCCCAACACACACAAAAAAAACCCACCAGGCCGGGTGTGGTGGCGCATGCCTGTAATCCCAGCACTTGGGAGGCTGAGGCAGGAGGATCACTATGAGTTTGAGGCCAGCCTGGGCTACATAGTGGGTTCCAGGTCAGTCTCAACTACATAGTGAGACCCTGTCTCAAAAAACCAAAAAAAAAAAAAAAAACCCACCAGTTTTGTAATATGAACTTTAGAAAATCTGGTCTTCGAGTAAAGAATTTATAATTTATCAGGAAACGAAAATAGGATCAAGTTCATTTTATTGTTCTTAGGGATTAAAAAGAAAAGATAACCCCTTAGCACTGTGTTGGTTTGTTTTCACTTGCCTGCTTGGGTAGGACAGTCTAGAAAACCATTTTGAGAATAAAAATCTGTTCTCATCGCTACAGTTGAGTGCTGTGACAGTGGAGGAGCCCTATCACAAAGGGTGTTTCTCTTTTCTGAGTTTAGCCTCTGAAGAGTACAGTAAAAACAAGACAGGAGAAAGAAAATTGGGTTCCTTTAAATTTTGGACTTCATACAATGCAAACATTTTAAATAAAAGTTGCTTCCTTTGTGTTCTTTGCAGTGAGCTACAGGCTTTTGTGCATTTTGATACTGGATTGAAGAAGAAACCATGTGTATTTTGTTCCCTCCTCTCTTGCTGGTGAAGAGCACAGTGCTTGGCACTTAGTAGGTGCTCAGTAAATATTTGAAAAGTAAGCCAGGCGTGATGGCACATACTTGTAATTGTAGCACTCTGAGAGACTAAGGCAGGAGGATCACAAGTTAAGCCCACTGGGAACTTGGCGACTTAGCAAGATTCTGCCTCAAAAATAAGAAGGGCTGGAGTTGGAGCTCAATGAGAAGGCCCTGAGTTCAATCCTCAGTACCATAAAAAAAAAAAAAAAAAAATTGAACAAATAAAGCTGTTTTTCTAATAATGACTTTTGCTTTAGCTTTCCCAGTGCTAGGATTACAGGTGTGCACCATTAGGCCCAGCTCTAACGATAACATTTTATTTTATTTTAATTAATTTATTTATTTATTTATTTATTGGAGACAAGGCCTCACTATGTAGTTGATACTACACTTTATCTTAGCCAAAAGGCCGAGAAGCGATTCTCATTATATAGTTGAGACTGACCTGGAACTCTCTATGCAGCCCAGGCTGGTCTCAAATTCACAGCGATCCTCCTGCCTCAGCCTCCAAAGTGCTGGGATTACAGGTGTGCGACACCATGCCCAACCTAACAATCACATTTTAAAGAATACACCAGTGTGTTCAAATTGGAGATCACATCTGTGTAGATGTTACCATTTTTTTTAAGTACATTTCTTTGGTATAGATGAACATCTCCCCCAAGAAAAGAATAATCTGGTGCTGAGCAGAATTGGTCACATGCCTCGTTTCTTTCTCTGAGGCCTAGGCACTTGGTGAGCATTTGCAGAACTCCAGATCCAGGCAGGGGTCTGCCTTCCCTCAGGGCTGGCCCAGCCCATGGTGGTGCTGGGAGCCTGGAAGAGCTCAGCTGAGTCCATCATCCAGCCAGATAGCTCCCTTGTCGAGGGATACTTGAGCTTCCTGTGCTGCTTACTCAGCCAGTACTGTTTCAAGAAAAAGCTATTGCTCCAAAACAGTGGGAGAAAGTACTTTAGGTTGCTTTTTCTTAATATTAAAGAGATTTATTGTCCAACAACTGGTTGTACACATTTTGAATTTAAATACGTAGTACACAGAATGTTTCCTTCAAGAACGTCATCCATCCCCTCTCCCAATAAAACTACTACATTCAAAATTTATAGTCTCTGCTCAGCTGCTTAGCCTACTTGGTCATATTAAGAAAGCATAAATAATCAAAAATCCACAATTGGATTACATCATTCGAGTGGAATTAGATGCTGTGTGAGAAGCTTAGGGTGGCAGTGAAATTCAGAATCTTGTTTGAGAAATTAGGCAGGACCCATTGCCTGGGACAGCCTCGATTCTGTTGGTAGAGGCTGACAACACAGCAGAATCCCTCTTTCCCCCATACTCAAGTTGCTTTTCTACATTGGTAGCACACAACTTTCTGTTTGGGCCAATCCCTGTGTGGAAGAAAGAAATGCAGACAAGCCTTGGCCTCCCTGCTGCCTCAAAAAACTGACTCAGTTTAAAAACTGGAATCTTTTTTGTTCTGTCTACTAACCATAGGCTAAAAGGTTCAATTTTAACGATTGTCCTTATTCACAAATGTGTATGTGCTTTTGCAAGTTTTCCTAAAGGAGGCTACTTCTCTTCATCTGTCTTCCACTATGAAGGAATCTAACTGTTAGTTTTTTGTTTGTTTTGTTTGGTTGGTTTTTGGGGGGAGTTGTTTGTTTTGGAGATGTTTTTTTTTTGGGGGGGGTACTGGGGATCGAACTCAGATCCTTGTACTTGCAAGGCAGGCGGCAGCACCACTGAGCTAAAATCCCTGGCCCCTGGAGGTTTTTTTTGAGACAGGGTCTTACTGTGTAGTTCAGACTTGCCTTGAATTCACTGTGTAGTCCAGGTTGAACTCCTGGCAATCCTCCTGCCTCAGCCTCCCAAATGCTGGGATTACCAGCATGCACAACCTTGCCCAGCTGGTGACTATTAGTATTCTAAAAACGGGTTTATTTCGGACTGTTTGACCTTCATCGAGAGGTTTGCTTTTGATATTGGACACTCCTGATGGGATCCTTGTGGAACTATTATACATAATTTATATCATGTGTTATGTCATGTATTATTTGATTTATTGAAAAGGAGATGGGTTTTCACCACATACTCCTTTTTTGTTTTAAAAGATGAATGCTGATATATTTCTTTAAGAGAATTCTTCCGTAGCTGTCATCAATTGTAATTTGGTTACAAGCTTTACAGAAGCATGTTTTCTCAGCTGCTGCAGAAGTGAAGGCTAGAGGAGAAAAACCTATCAAGGGAAATGTTGACCGCTGCTGGTGAATATTAAAATTGTACTGGCTTTCATCTTCTATACCTCAATACTTCCTGCCAGTCCAAGTCAAAACTCACACATAGCCCGGGAAATACTGCCAAACTGTTGGATCCTGGCCTGCAGAGCGTGATCAGCTCAGCAGCCTCAGTAGATGTTACTTTTTTCTGGCAGTTGCTTTGTTTCCAGACTGTAGATTTACAAAGCTGGTGAGGAAAACAATCGAAGTTACACATCTGGAATATGAAGCAGATTTTCAGTCTGTCTTGTTTCCTCTTCCCCACTGGGGTGCACAGGCCGATGCGGACAGTTTTTATATGGCATGCAATGGCCGCCAGTTCAACTCCATAGAAGATGATGTTTGCCAGCTGGTCTATGTGGAAAGGGCTGAAGTGCTGAAGTCAGAAGACGTAAGTGTGAATGCTGCTTGTATTGATTCTAAATCCATCCGATTGGTATAAAATTGGATGCCAAGGTAACTGTGGAAATTCCCAGAGTAGGCCAAACCCTAGAGACAGAAAGGAGATGCCTGGCTGCCAAGGGCTGGGGCAGAGAGGAATGCAGAGTGACTGCTGACAGGTGGTGGGGTTTGTTTTTGAGGTGATGGAAATGTTCTGGAATTAGTGGTGACAGTTGCTATAAGAACCACTCAGTTGTACACTTTAACATAGAGAATTTCATGGGATATGAATTTTATCTCATTTTTTTACCTTCAAAAAATATTTTTAAATGTGTTAAAAAACCTATATTGTTGAAATGGAGTGTTAATCTATTCCAGATCAGTTAAACATTGCCTAGTGCTGAAATGTTTTTATTGGAAATATTAACCCTTAATCCTCCTAATTGCTTTTTTTTTTTTTTTTTTTTTTTTTGGGAGACAGGGTCTCACTATGTAGTTGAGACTGACCTGGAACTCACTATGTAGCCCAGGCTGGTCTGGTACTCACAGGGATCCTCCTGCCTCTGCCTCCCGAGTGCTGGGATTACAGGCGTGTGCCACCACGCCTGGCTCTCCTTCTAATTGTTAATTCTGCCTTGCTGTGATTTGCAGTTGGTCTGATCTGCCACCCTTGGTGGGAACCCTTCCTGCAACATGTACTCAGTCAAATTACTTTATAAAACAGCAGGTTCAGCTCTATGAGAATTTTAAGATTGCCTTTTTTTTTTGTACCGGGAATTGAACTTGGAACCTTGCACTCGTGAGGCATGTAGCGGAACTACTGAGCTAAATCTCCTGCCCAAGATTGCCTTTCTTTTAGAGTAGACCTAGAGGGCAAGGATTTAGCTCAGCAGTGCCGCACCTGCCTGACAAGTGCAAGGTCCTGAATTTGATCCCCACTACCAGGGAAAGAAAAGAAAGATAGCAAGAAAGAAAGAGACAGACAGAGAAAGAAAGTAGATCTAGTGGTGGGCATGGTGGCGCACACCTGTAATCCTAGCACTCGGGAGGCTGAGGCAGGAGACTTGCTGAGAGTTTGAGGCCAGCCTGGGCTATGTAGTGAGACTTTATCTCAAAAAGTCAATAAATACATGAATAAAGTAAACCTAGTGATCTTTTTACCTTGAAATCAGCTTCAAAGTAGATTCTACTTTGATTGTTCTTTTATTTGGTTAGGGAACTAAAATGGATGAATGATGCAATTGAGCTTCCTTTGTGCCAAGTGCTACTGCATGAGGCCTCCGTTTTTCTTTTTGTTTTTTGTTTTTTTTGGTACTGGGTATCAAACTCTGGTCCTTGCGCTTGCGAAGCAGGCCACCAAACCGCTGAGCTAAATCCCCGGCCCAAGGCCTCTGTTTTGAGGTTCTTTTCTCTAAATGTGCATGGCTTCTTGAGAAATTTCCCGTAAATATCTACTCTTCAGAGACTGTAATGTGCTTTTTCTCCATTTGTCTGGGGGTTTTGTTGTTGTTATTCTTGTGGTTTGTTTTGAGACAGTTCAGACTGGCCTTGAGCCTACTGTGTATCCCAGGTTGACCTTGAACTCATAGTCCTCCTCTGGCCTTAGCCTCCCAGGTGCTGGAATTACAGGCCTACACCACCACGCTGGGCCTTTGTTTTGTTTTGTTACTTTTTGTAGTGCTGGGATTGAATCCAGGGCCCCACATAAACTAGGCAAATGCTCTACCACTGAGCTACATCCCTAGCCCCTCTTCTCACCCTCCGTGGTACTGAAAGTTGAACTTAGGATCTTTGCACTGATCTACTTTCCTAGACTTTATTTTTTGAGACAGGATCTTGCTAAATTACTGGGCTTGAATTTGCAGTCCTCCTGCCTCAGCCTCCTAGAGTGCTGAGATTACATGTGTGTACCACCATACCTGACTTTCTGTTTGTCCTTATGTATGTCTCTCCACATTTATGTAGGTAATTCCTTCTAATATTCTGGAATCTGATTTTTGTTCACTATTGTTCCACACCTTAAGTGGTGTCTTACATAGCAAGATCTATGTAAGGACTCAGTAAGTATGACCTAAATGCATGAATCAATGAAATGAGTGTTAGTGATATTTTTAATCATTCAGTAGGAATACTAGTTATAATTTACTCTGGAAGAATCATTCAGGTCCATTTCTGGTCTCCTTTTGTTCCATGGGCTTGTATTGTAGTCACACATATTGGGAGCTTGAAATAGAAGTCTGGTTCCATTTCAGAGCAGTTTATCAGCATTTGGGCAGCAGTCTGTTCCTAGAATGTCAGGTCCATGAGGGCAGGAATTTTTGCCTGCTGTGTTCACTACTGTATTATCAGGATCCAGCACAGTGCTGGGAATATAAACAGTGCTCAAAGGCCGGGATTTAGCTCAGTGTTTCTGCTGCCTGCCTCGAAAGCACAAGGACCCAAGTTCAATCTCCGGTACTGAAAAGAAGGGCCAGGGATTTAGCTCAGTGGTGCCACCACCTGCCTTGCAAGTGCAGGGTCCTGAGTTTCATCTCCCAGGTACAAAAAAAAAAAAAAACAAAACCAAAAAACAATAAACCACAGTGCTCAATCAGTACTTGGTGAATGAATGAACAAATAAATGAAAAGCTTACTAATTTAAATTATTTGCATAGAGCCATAATGTTGAGAACATCCTTCTGGAAGTCAACAGGAAAACTTGTTCAGAGGAAAAAAAGAGATGGCTGAGGGGTGCTTTACAGTAAGGCCTCACGCACTGTGTCTCCCTGCAGGGTGCCAGTCTCCCAGTGATGGACCTGACGGAGCTCCCTAAGTGCACGGTGTGTCTGGAGCGCATGGACGAGTCCGTGAATGGCATTCTCACCACACTGTGCAACCACAGCTTCCACAGCCAGTGTCTACAGCGCTGGGACGACACCACGTGAGTGCAGGAACCATCTGCCACCACAGGAGCCCATTCTAACATGTACCCAGAATTAAAAATGGCCATCACCAAACACGAACTATTCTAAATGTTGATTCTACCAGCCTGGCACCATGACAGTACAGACTCTTCCATTTTGCTCCTCTTTCCTCAGTTCACCAGGGAGTCTGAACTCTTAAGATATTTCCCAAAACACTGTGAATTGCTCTTTCCTTCCAAGAGCCAAAATGGAAAAAAATAATAAGCAAAACTTGGCTTTAAGGCTCTTATGTTAAAGTGAAATCTGTATCTTGGGCTCAGTGGTCAGGTGCTTGCCTAGTGCGTAAAAGGCCCTGGTTTGATCGTTAGCACCAGGGGGAAAAAAGAAAGAATGAACTCTACATCTCGCATTTCCCTATCATGTACACTTGGTTTCTTGGTTTCTAGCATTTGCTTCAGCTTTCTTCCCAACTGGGCAATGGCAACCTTTATTGGGTTGTTGATGGCTTTGTACCAGGTAGTGATAGCAACCACCAGCTATATGGCACACACTTAAGTGTCCTGATTCCCAGTGCACCAAAAAGCCTCAGTTATAGGTGACATTGCTGCACACAAAAAACTGAAAGGGCACCTATACCTCTTCCCCCTTAAGTCAAAGGTGACTGCTCCCTTTGCAAACTGCCCTGCAGGACTTAGCTAGAAAGGTATGTCAGGCACTGGCCTTATGGGTCCCTAGAACAAAAAATTGATAAACAAGCAGCCACACAATTAAGTGTGGAGAACCACAGCCTTCCCAGGTGATATAAAGGAGTAGTGTGCAAAAAGCAAAAAAAAAAAAAAGTAGTAGTGTGCAGCATTGTGACTGGAGACCTGAGCCCTGACACCACCAGGCCACTTGAGAAATGATGTCACCAGGAGCGATAGGTAGGAGTTAGTGGCTGGAATATGGGAGCAAAAGAAGACAGCGATGCGGAGGAGAAGAGGACACTCACATCTGAGAAGTCCAGCAGTTAGGAGGGAGAGAGTCCCCAGGAATCCCTGCTTGCACAGCTTCCACAGAGCAAGGACCTGACCTGCCTTGCTCCCTGTCATGCCCATCGTGAAGTGTGAGACATGGCTTCTTCCTCAGAAACATACAGTTCATTGAGTGAGTGGGTTTTCATACAAAACAGACAGACTAGATCTTGCAGCCTTCTAATAGGAAACTCAGAACCTGTTTATCTGTGCAAGAACTTAGTATTCTTTCTGCTTGTTTCCTTTTCTTGCTTTTACTGACTTGGCTAGGTAACAGTTTGGTATTAGGTATAACTGGAGCTTTCTTTTTTGGTGCCAATTTAGTCAGCCTCAAATATACCCACTTTCTGTTTGCCCATCTGATAAAATATATTCATGACTAATATTGAGTAGTATTACTTTGTCTTCACTAATAGAAAAGGGTTAATTGATTTTTTTTTTTTTATTGTCCTTTTACTGCCTTTTTTTTTTTTTTCCTGGTACTGGGGAATCAACCCAGGACCTTTGCACTGAGTTACATCCCCAGCCCTTTTTCTGTTTTGTACTTTGAGACAGGGTCTTGCTACCTAAATGGCCCCAGGCTGGGCTTCAACTTCCAGTCTTCTTGCCTCCCAGAGTGCTGAGATTATAGGCTTGTGCCACTATGTCTAACTTGTTGCTTCTTTATAAATCCGGACTTGCAAAGTAAATAGCACTGGCATCTTTGATATGATTTCCAATACAAAGCAAAATGTCACGCATGTTTAGTTTATTGCCACAGTTTTTTTTTTTTTTTAATTTGATAGTCTGGAACAGTGGCACATTCCTATAATCCCAGCACTTGGGAGGATGAGACAGGAGGATCAATAGGAGTTCAAGGTCACCCTGAACTACATAGCAAGACCCTGGCTCAAAACAAACAAAATTTGGTGACATTTACTGCAGATTTTAGATCTAACTTTTAAGAAAAACCTGTACAAGATGGGTATATCTTTAATGATTTAAATCTTTGGGAAATGGGGACAAGATAGATGGTTTGGTATAAAAGTACATTATGAGGGCTGGGGATTTAGCTCAGTAGTGCCACCTCCTGCCTGGCAAACTCAAGGTCCGAGTTCAGTCCCCGGTACTCCCCCCAAAAAATTACATTATGAATAACCAAACATGAAACAAAATAAAAAATGTGTCTCAGATCCTAATTCTAACCTGTAAATATTTGGGCTTTTGATCAGCTGACTCTTAGAAGAATAAGAAAGTATATAAAGCAAAAATTCTCCCTTTGCTTCTGTAGTTTCATTTTGTTTGAGAATAGTTCAGAATGTCTGTAAGGTAAATGATAGGTTATTCCAAACTTTAAAATAATCACTTAGGAAAATAATTTAAAAATAGCATGTCAGGGCTGGACTGGTGGCACATGGCTGTAATCCCAGCACTTGGGAGGCTGAGGCAGGTGGCCTGCACTACATAGTGAGTTCAAAGCTACATAGCAAGACTCTGTCTCAACAAAAAAAAAAGTAGAAAGTTGAAGCAGGAAGATCACAAGTTCAAGGCCAATCTGGGCAATTTAGCAACTTAGACCCTGTCTCAGGAAATAAAAAAGGCCCTACCAGGGCTGTAGCTCAGGCAGCACAGCACCAGCCTGGCTGTCAGGAGGCTATGAGTTCAATTCTCGGTATAAACAAATAGCCTAAGGATATCTCTCAGTGCAAAGGCACTAGCTTCAATCCCCAGACCCACCAAAAGAAAAGAAAAGCATTTAAGAGAAGATACAAAGTCCAGTTTGGGGAAGGGGGATGTGACTCAGTGGTAGAGCACTTGCTTAGCCTACTTGAGACCCTGGGTTTGATCCCTAGCACACTCCCACAAAGAAAGTTTCCTGTTTAAAATATTTAGTGACTATTGTGTGTCACACACTATTTTTTTTTTTTTTTTTTTTTTTGCTTTTGGATTCTTTTATATCTAATCTGAACCATGATCTTTGGTGTCCTGAATAGGTGTCCCGTCTGCCGATACTGTCAAACATTTTTTTTTTTTTTTTTTTTTTTTTTTGTGCTTTTGGATTCTTTTATATCTAATCTGAACCATGATCTTTGGTGTCCTGAATAGGTGTCCCGTCTGCCGATACTGTCAAACACCAGAGCCAGTAGAAGAAAATAAATGTTTTGAGTGTGGTGTTCAGGAAGTAAGTAATGGGTGGTGGGAAGAACAATGAATACAACTTTGGGATTTTCTTCTGCCTGGTGCGGTTTAAATTTTTTCTGAGTCTGACTTTTTTTTTTCTTTTGTGTCTGGTTTTTGTTTTTGTTTTTTATTGTCTGGAGTCAGACAAGGCATACAAATGTAAAAGTATCTTATTCCTAAGCAAAATACCTTATGTTATTGTTCTCTGTTCCTTTACAAGACTTTGACTTTTATTTATTTTTATTTTTTTCTGGTACTGGAGATCAAACTCGGGACCTTGTGCTTGCCAGGCAGGTACAGTGCCACTGAGCTACATCCCCAGCCCAAGACTTGGACTTTTATTGACATACTTTGAATGTTTTTCTTGCCGTTTCTCTAAAGTTCTGTAGATCAGAAAAAATAATCCATAAAAGCATCCTGAGCCTATTGGGATTTAAACCTACTTTAAAACTCCTGAGAAACAACTCTTAAGTCTCATTCTTTATTGGGGCCCTTGCCACACCTTTTAGGCTAGGCCATGTACTTTTATTTAACTAATTAAGATCTTACTTCCTCCTTGGCAGAATCTTTGGATATGTCTCATATGTGGCCACATAGGATGTGGACGGTATGTGAGTCGACATGCGTATAAGCACTTTGAGGAGACACAGCACACCTATGCAATGCAGCTCACCAACCACCGAGTCTGGGACTATGCTGGAGGTGAACCCCACTTGTTTTCTAATTTGGATTCATTCTGCATGGAAAGTTTTCCTCCCGAACCTCTCTCTCCACTTTCCCCTCACAGTGTGACATGTCATCTTCCTAACAGCTGTTGCAAACTTTAATTCTAATGGTGCCCGTAGGCACCATTTCCTAGGAAAGACCTTAATGGAACATTATAAAGAGAGTTTATGGTTCCACTCTTGGTTTCTCAGTCTCTCTTTACAATTTAAGCGATTTGACCCACTTTCAAAGAAATTTAGATGTATAAAAACAAAATATCTGTGAGAGTTAAAAGCGCATGGTGTGTTGGCACACGCCTGCAATCCTAGCACTCAGGAGCTGAGGCAAGAGGATCTCTGAGTTTGAGGCCAGCCTGATTTACACAATGAGTTCAAGGCTGGCCTGAACTACAGAGCGAGACCCTGTCTCAAAAAAAACAAGGGCTGGTGATTTAGCTCAGTGGTGCCACCACCTGCCTTGTAAGCACAAGGTTGCGAGTTCAGTCCCTATTACCAGAAAAGAAAAGAATACATGGCAACCCTTTTCATTCTAAAGAAACATGCTTTGATTAACTCATTCTTTTCTTTAGATAATTATGTCCATCGACTGGTTGCAAGTAAAACAGATGGAAAAATAGTACAGTATGAATGTGAGGGTGACACTTGCCAGGAAGAGAAAATAGATGCCTTACAGTTAGAGGTAAGATACTTACTAGTTATCACTCAGTGCCTATTCTGTTTCTGCTCCTTTTACTATTCTAACTGGAAAAGCTGTTTGGCCATTTAGTTTTGTCGTTTACCTTACATGTAATTTTTTGTTTGTTTTGTTTTGTTTTTTGAGACAGGGTCTCACTGTGTAGTTGAGACTGACCTGGAACTCACTATGTAGCCCAGGCTGGTGTCGAACTCACAACGATCCTCCTGCCTCAGCCTCCCGAGTACTGGGATTACAGGCGTGCGACCCCACGCCCGGCTCATGTAAACTTTTTTTAAAATGCCATCATTTATGTGAAGAATTACATTGTCTTGTTTTTCTTTTCTGAAAGTCTAAGTTTCATGTGCTTTTATTACTTTCAGTGTGACATTCCTAGTTATCTTAAATTCAGGGTAAAGATAAAGGTATCTTCCACAGCTGTAATAAAGCCAGAAATAAGAACATTCCTGTTGGCATCACACTAACAGCTGGAAACTGAACAGAAAAAAACCCATAGCATCTCTCCATCTCTGGAATTACTGGGTACATACTTTGGGCTGGCACTTTATAAATCAGAGGCTTATATAAAATGTATACTCAAAGTATATATTTATAGGATATAAGTATAGTCTTATATACTTAAAGCCTTTTTTGAGTATTAATGTATTTGAAGAAACAGAATTTGCACAATCTGGTTTTTCTCCATAGCAGTAAATCCTGTCTACTGTGAAATTGTCATAAATTCCATGTTAGTGAAGAGAAAGTTTCAGTATAAGTCCTTTCTTATAAAAATTTTGAAAAAGATTGTTCTAAGCCAGGTGCAGTGGTGTTATATCAGCTACTTACTATTCTGAGACAGGAGGACCGCAAGTTCAAGGCCAACCTAGACAATTTGTCTCAAAAAATGAAAAGGACTGGGGATATAGCTCAGCTCCGTGGGTTCAATCCCTACTATAACAGGGGTGTTGGGAGGGACAGGAGACAGGAGAGAGAAGTGTTTGTTTAAGGCTGCTATCTTTTAGCCACTGGAACCTACTCCCTGCCTTTGTGAATTATGTATTCTGATGGCACAGACATTCTCCTAATTGTTTCTTCCCTCTAACCTACAAACATTTAGGTCTCTTAGGATGGTCTTTCCAAAATAATGGTGTGATTTTGGCACTGTTTGGATTCTCTTTTGCCCACAGTTCTCAATATACACCGTATAGCTTTTCATAGACACTGGTGTCACTTTTTCATTGCTGAAGAGATCCTAAACATCCACAGCTCTCACTTGGTCCAGCAGTCCTCTGGAGTACGATCTCTGTCTGTCAAGAGCTCTGTCCAGAGCTCTACCAGATCTGTTGCCACAAGCCATTTGTCCCTTCCCTGTAGCTACAGCTGTTTGATCATTCATGCAGCCATGCAGCAAGCAATTCTTGACATCCAGTATGTGCCAGGCACTGGAAATACAGAGGTACAGATACAGCTCACTTTGAGAGTTGAGTCCATTCAGGGCAACAGGTGGATCCAGTGACTAAGTGCTAGTATCACACTGCTGCTGCTGCTGGTGGGTAGGGTGCTAAGGAAGCCAAGAAGGGGAGCTTAACGCAAAGGCTGGGAGATGGATGAGTTGGTTTGAGTTATACACAGATTTCTTTTTTCTTTTTTTTGCAATGCTGCAGGTTGAACCAGAGCCTGGTGCATTCTGAGCATGTGCTGAGCCACTGAGCCACACCTTAGCCCTGAGTTATACGTAGATTTAAAGCCACTGTGGTTCTTTTTAAAATCAGCCAGACCAGTATAAGTTTTTGTATATGTATATTTTTCTGTTTTTCCCAGTTAGATTTTAGACCGCAGGGGGTTGGGGCAGAAGTGTAATTGTCATTTCTGTGTCCCTTAGTCCAGTGCCTATTGAGTAGAGTGGAACTCAGCCATCACATACATACATTCCTGTGTGTGTGTGTGTGTGTGTGTGTGTGTGTGTGTGTGTGTGGTATCATGCATCAAACTCAGGGGTGCTTTACCATGGAGCAACATCCCCAGGCCCTTTATATTTGGTGATAGGTTCTCGCCAAGTTGCCCAGACAGTTCAGCCTCCCTAAATGCTGGGATTACAGGCATGTGCCACCCCTGCAGCTTTTTTGGGGGGGTGGATTGTAGTTGAGACGATCTGGAACTCACTATATAGCCCAGGCTGGTCTCGAACTCACAGCAATCCTCCTGCCTCAGCCTCCTGCGTGCTGGGATTACAGGCGTGGGCCACCACACCTGGCAAATTTGTTATTTTTTTGGTACCGGGGACCAAACTTGGGACCTTGTGCTTGCAAGGCAGGTGGTGGCACCACTGAACTAAGTCCTTGGCCCCTCCCCAGTTTTTGACATACATTCTGATAAGCCAGGAATGGTGTCCCATGCCTACAGTCTCAGCCACTCCAGAGGCTGAGTCAGGAGGATCACATGAGCCTAGGAGTTTGAAACCAGCCTGAGAAACATAGTAAGACCCTATCTCCTAAACAAAAACAAAAAACTGCCTTCTGATGGTTACATTTATTCTTTTATAAATCATTACAGGTCACATTTTAGTTGGATCTCATAGACTAACAAGAATGACTTACATTTATTCTCTATTTTTAGTATTCATATTTACTAACAAGCCAACTGGAATCTCAGCGAATCTACTGGGAAAACAAGATAGTTCGACTAGAAAAGGACACAGCAGAGGAAGTAAGTCTGGTCTGGTGACTGCTGAATTGTGGTGGAAGGCAATCTGGTGGTGTATGGAAGAAAGGAGAGCACAAGAAAAAAATACTTAGAATTTTCCCTTCTTAGTGTGATAATTGGTAGAGAACTATTTCACCTCTACAAAGAAATCTTGGATTTAAGGAATTCAATGTTTTGGTATTTTAAAGTTTTAAGAGATTGTGTGTGTGTGTGTGTGTGTGTGTGTGTGTGTGTGTGTGTGTGTTTACCTCAGTCAATCAGATACTGTAGTGCCTTATGAAGTTCCATTAAAAACATAGACATGTGTACATGAGGGTTTGTAATTTGAGTTGGACAGTTGGTTCGTCAACCTGGGAACGGCCGCTTTGGGGAGCTGGATGGGAACTTCTGAGGCAGAGTGATAGTGCTGAGGCCTTCTAAATCAAAAGAAAATTGGGCAGATACCTTGGATCTTTGGGGACCACCCTGGTAAATTACTGAGGGTAGCAGTTTCCAATTTTTAATCAAGTAACCTTTAAAGATGCCATTCAGCTGGGCAGGATGGCACAGACCTATCGTTCAACTACTCTGGAGGCTGAGATGAGATCACTTGTGTCTGAGTTTGAGGTTAGCCTTTGCAACACAGTAAGACTCTGTCTTGAAAAATAATTAACTAGGGAAAAGAGGGAAATCCCACTCAGTTCTTCCAACACGCAAAAGGGAAAAGTGGTGTGATTTTAGTGAAAAGCTGCGTGGAGGGCCCAAAACTCTTACTTGCTTGATTTACCCCTTGTTTCCAGCGTATAAAGGAAACCCTGAGAGTTCCAAAAAAGGTAGTTTTAAAAGCAGTGACTGGGCTGGGGATTTAGCTTAGTGGTTCTGCCGCCTGCCTAGCAAAAGCAAGGACCCGAGTTCAATCCCCGGTACCCCCCCACCAAAAAAAAAGCAGTGACAGAAGGGACAAGGAGGAGAGGAAAGGTGACATAAAAAGAATTAAGATGTGTTTTGTACATGTACCAGCTCCTACAGTGAATGTAATCATCATGTACTACAAATGTGCTAATGAAAAAAAAGTGAGCACTTGAGGGTTTGTGTATAATTAGGGCTTTAGATCTAATGACAGTATGTGTGATTTGACCATTCCCTTAGAAGCAATTAAAGGCTTTTAAAATGATTATCTTAGTGATTTGGCAAGTCCCCACCATTTCCTGGACCTTCTGAGCCAAGAACTGCAAGCCAGGCTTGGGGCCCACATTGGGGTAGAACTGTCCTGAAGCCTGGCCAGCCGGGCCCAGGCTCTTACTTTGTGCTGGGCCCATGGGCCCTACTTTCTGGATATGACTGTAAATATGAGAAATAGGATTTCATTTTTATTTTTTAATAGCTGCTTGACATTAGCTTTGAAATAATTTCTAATGAAGTTTCTGATGCAGTTCTGACAAGAACCTTCCAGGCAGCAGCAGAGACACTCAAGGTCACTTGACCTTCTAGCCTGAATAGGGCTTGATTGCAGCACATGCAGGGAAGGACTTGCCTCCTTGCACTCGTTGGAAGCAGGGCACACTCGCTGCCACTTGGTGTCACATTATGGACTCACAAGGAGGCGTCTGGCAACACAGCTGCAGCCTTACTAATGGGTTTTTCTATGGGAGACACCAGCATGACCACCTAAAATGCTTGAAGCAGACCCCTGAGAGCTCGGCTTGGGATTCTCCCTGCCCTTTAAGATTCCTTAGGATTAACTGCATTCCCAAAGATGTACCAGGGGGAGGTAAGGCAGGGGCAGGAAAAGGGAGTGCCAGAAAAATGCTTGTGCCTGTGTGTACCATACTTTTGGGTGGGTAACACAGAGCCCAGCGCAGTCCAGATGAAAGCTTGCAGTGTTTTAAAGGGTGTTTTTGTCTTCCAATAACAAATGTTATTTATCCTTAGAAGTTCATGGGCAATGCAGTCCTCTTGTTTTACCACTGGTACTCTTTTTTTGGGGGGTGGGGGTACCAGGAATTGCTTGCAAGGCACATACAGTGCTGCTGAGCTACATCCCTGGCCCTAGTACGCTTTGTTTAGCATTTTTGTAGTACTGAGGGTTGAATCCAGGGTCTTGCACATGCTAGCTACATCAGTGCTCTACCACTGGCCCACACCCCTAACCCTTATTTTATTATTAATTTTTAATTTGGAGACAGAGTCTTAGTTACCCAGGCTAGCCTTAGAGTTGTGATCTTCCTGGCTCAGCTTCCCAAGTAGATGGAATAACAAGCATGTACCACTAGGCCTGGCTACACTGTAACATTTTACATTTACCCTGTTAGATAATGTATTTTTATTCATATAACACCAAACTCATTTCACAATCCAGCTGGGAAAACACTGATTTAAATGGACCTAGAGGTCCTTAGAGGCTTGTTGTATGAATCACGGATAGGATCTATGCTACAAATTTAGATCTAGTCCAGAAGTCATGTCTCCTTTGGTATAGAACTTTTACCTCCCTAGTAGAGCAAGGTTTAGAACTTGACTTTGGTCCCAGATTTGGTCCCAGACAGGATTCACCACATTCCACCACATGTCCAGTGACCTTGGGCATATTGCTTTATATTTTTCTAAGCCTCAGTTTCTGTCAGTAGTTGACTTATCTACAACACTGGCCTGTTACGCAAAATAAACAACATATTACTGTGAAACACATAGCCGATGCCTGCATGATAGAGTTTAAGTTAAGTTGCTTTCATTCCTCACTGTTACTGCCTTGTGGTCCAGGTCACCCAGCCTCCCCAGTTCCCCTTCCCACCTCATCTTCTCCCAGGGTCCTTTGGCAGAGGCATTGAGGTGGTTCCCAAGACTGTAGAGGCACACCAGGGTCAGTCCAGTGTCCCCCTAGCAGGATGTATTCCACAGATATATTGCCTTTATAAATTTTTCAAAAAAGCATGATTGCCTTTATTTTATATGGCTTTAAAGTACGTGAGGAAATCAGTAGTTTAGAAAACAACCAAAGAACTAACTAGAATGAACTGATCCAATCTTCTCAGATGACCAGTGGGTAATAACTGTTGGAATACAAACTCAGGTGGAAAAGCCAATGGGAAGTTAATAATGGTTGGCCTCAAGTAGGCCATCTGCTCCAGGGCCTGAGGCTTGCTAGTTACTTTTCAGCGGCCAAACCAGACATCCAGCAGCTCATTCTCTTCCGTATCCTACCTAGTATAGATAAATAGTAAGCAGAAAAAAGGATTCCTCAAAAATTGTATTTCTGGGCCAGGTGTGGTACAAGCCTATAACCCTAGTATTAGTCCAGCCTGGGCGACTCAAAAGAAATTAATTTTTTTTTCTTTTTGGTACTAGGGATCAAACTCGGGTCCTTGTGCTCCTGAGAAGAGTATTTTTTTGATACTGGAGATCGAACTAGGAACCTTGCACTTGCAAGGCAGGTGGTGGAACCACTGAGCTAAATCCCTAGCCCTCTTTTTGTTTATGTTTTTTGTTGTTTTGTATTTTTGTTTTGAGACAAGGTCTCTCTATGTAGTTCAGTTTAGGCTGGCCTCAAACTCATTAGAGCCCAAGGCTGTCTTGAACTCATGGCGATCCTCCTGCCTCAGCCTCTCAAGTGCTGGGATTATAGGCATGTGCCACCACGCCCAGCAGTTTTTATTTTTCAGGGCTGGGGAAATAGCTCAGTTAGAAGGCCCTGGGTTCAATCCCCAGGACTGGAGGAAAAAAAAAAAAAAAAGAATATATATTCCTATCACAAAAATTCTTTCAAATGATTACCTGACCTTGTTAAAGTTTGCTTTGTCAAAGTTATAACAGATAATGGGGGAGGGTGGCATCAGTCCCAAGGACCACAAAATTTTACCTGTTCTCTCATTGGCTCTTTCAGATTAACAACATGAAGACCAAATTTAAAGAAACAATTGAGAAGTGTGATACTCTGGAACATAGACTAAACGACCTCCTGAAAGAAAAGCAGTCTATGGAAAGGAAGTAGGTATAATTGGTTCATTAGTTCATTCTTTATTTATTTATTTTTCGTTTGTGAGACAGGACTTTGCCATGTAGTTCAGGCCGGTCTTGAACTCACTGTGTAGCCCATCTTGGCCTTGGATTTGCTGTGATTTGTTGTTCTCCCCAAGTTCTGGGATTACAAGTGTGCATTACCACACCCCCCCTTTTTTTTTTTTAAGACAGGGTCTCATTATTTGGTTCAGGCTGATCTTGAACTCACTATGTAGCCCAGGCTGGTCTCAAACTTGGGGCAGTTCTCCTGCCTCAGCCTTATGAGTTCTGGGATTACAGGCATGCATCACCACACCTGGCTCTCACCTTCTGTTCTTTAAATTAGCCACTTTCTGGTCACAGGCTCTGTAAACTGATAATTTCCTTCATTCTTTTAGAAATACCCTTATTTTCAATTGGGTACTATATATGACCAGGTTTTCAGGGGGTCTTCTCTACACATAGAGCAAACTTATATGGTCTGTCTTTCACTAAAACATGAGGTGCTTTCCACAAAGTTGGCACTGTGTAGAACGGAGTCTCTCCTGCTGTCCTTGGGCTTGCTGTGTGTCTGGATTTCTTCTATTTTTGCCTGTGGGAGGCAGCTTCCTTGTGTCAGGAGCCCACAGCTTCTTTGAGACATGGTAGCTAAGACCTGGCAGTTAGGAAAGAGACTCCACCTACACTGGAAATGTAGGATCTGGCCTTTGGCAAGAAATAAAGGCCCAAGATGTAGACTGTGGAGTAAAAAAACCTCAGAACAGCATGGCAAGAACATTCCCTACCACTGTTGTTTGGAAAGAAAATTGTTACTGATTGCATTTATCTTTCTGGCTTAAGTTATATTCACAGAAATGATGGGATTTTTTTTTACATCCCTACAAATGGATCAAAAAACACATTTAAAGGACCGGGGATTTAGGTCAGCGGCACCGCACCTGCCTTTCAAGCTCAAGGTCCTGAGTTCATGCCTGGTACCAAAACAACAAAACTAACAACACTTTTTTTTTTGAGACAGGGTCTCACTATGTAGTTGGGTCTGACCTGGAACTCACTGTGTAGCCCAGGCTAGTCTCGAACTCACAGTGATCCTCCTGCCTCAGCCTCCCGAGTGCTGGGATTACAGGCATGCACCACCATGCCTGGCTCAAAAAACACATTTAAAGGAGGTAATCGGCCCTCAATATTTAAATAATCTTTTATTTTGGAGTAAATTTAGACTTATAAAAAGATTGAAAAGATAGTAATGTATAGATTTCCCTTGTATCCTTAACCCATTTCCCCCTCCTGTTTAAAAAAAAAAAAATTGTTGGGCTGAGATTTAGCTCAGTGGCACCACACTGCCTCACAAGCACAAGGTCCTGAATTTGATCCTTGTATTAAAAAAAAAAAAAAAAAAAAAGTTCAAGCCCAGCCAGGTATGGTGCCACAGGCTGAGGAAGGAGGTTCACTGCAAGTTCAAAGCCAGCCTGGTATGTATGTATGTGTGTATGTGTGTGTGTGTATGTATATATATGTATGTATATATATATATATGTGTGTGTGTGTGTGTGTGTGTGTGTGTGTGTGTGTGTGTGTATATGTATGTATATATATATATGTATATATATGTGTATGTATGTATATATATGTATATATATATATACATATATATATACACACACATACACACATACATACATATATATACACACACACACACACATGTCTCAAAAAACCAAACAAACAAAAAAATAGAAAGTTCAAGCCCAACCTAGGCAACTCAGCAACTTAGACCCATTTAAGGGCTTGGGACTGAGCATGGTGACATAGGTCTGCAACTTTGGCACTCTGGGAAGCTGAAGGAGGAGGACTGCAAGGGTCAAAGGGCCTAGGTTTAATCCCCAGTACTGCAAAAACAAGTTTAATATTTTAATTGTGGAAAAATGTATTTGCCACACAAAATTTGTCATTTTAACCATTTTAAAGCATACAACTCAGTGTTATTATGTGCATTCTCAGTATTGTGCAACCATCGCCACAGTGTTTCCAGAATTTTCCATCATCCCAAACAAACTAATTAAAATTTTTATTTATTTATTTATTTATTTATTTATTTTATTTATTTTTTGGTACCGGATCAAACTTTTTAACCATTTTAAAGCATACAACTCAGTGTTATTATGTGCATTCTCAGTATTGTGCAACCATCGCCACAGTGTTTCCAGAATTTTCCATCATCCCAAACAAACTAATTAAAATTTTTATTTATTTATTTATTTATTTATTTATTTTATTTATTTTTTGGTACCGGGGATCAAACTCAGGCCCTGTGCTTGTGAGGCAAGCACTGGAACCACTGAGCTAAATCCCCGGCCCTAAAATTTTGTTATAAAAACAACACTGCAATATTAATAGAAATCAGAATATGACAGAAGGGTCAAAAGTTCAAGTCCAGACTAGGCAACCTGCTGAGACCCTGAATCAGAAAGGGGGAGGGATAAAGCTCAGCACTCTGGGTTTAATCCCCAGTACACCAAAAAATTAAAAAGCCTCCTAACAAGTTTAAGTGAGTTAAAGACGAAGTTAGAACTAGAAGTTACTCTTTTTACCTCCTGTGTCCTGCTGTCTAGATGTAACAACAGTATCAACAGTACCTGTGAATATTTATGTTTCCTTTAGCTCCACGTATATAAACATCTCACCTACATCATCTTTTTATCTACCAAGAAAAAAAAAAGTATTCCTTTGAAGAAGTATGGTTTTGGAGATGCTTTTTCATACTGGCAGATCTAGATCTAGCTTGATCTTTATAACAGTTGGATGATCTTTGTGGTATAGATAGATGGAACATAATAATTTTAACTAGTTCTCATGTCTTGCACTTCTATAAACTTCGTTTCGTTTTGTTTTTAAATGATCTCGCTATGTTGCTCAGGCTGGCCTTGAACTCATGGCAGTCTCCCTGCCTCAGCCTCCCCATGTGCTGGGATCACAGGCCTATACAACCACAGCCAGCTCTATAAGCATTCTTGCAATAAGCATCTTTCTTCATTTGTCTTTTTGCACAACCCCAAGTATATCTGTTCTTTGAGATTAAAAAAGCAGATTAGCTGTGTCAAAGCGATGTGCATTTTTTATTTTTGTACTTATCGCCAAGTTGACGTCCAGAGAGTTTGTACCAATTCACACTCCAGTGCCAGCATGTAAGAGTACCTTATTTCCTGTGTCTGAGCTTTTTGGCATTCTGATACACGAAAATGGGCTTCCAAATGGTGTTTTAATTTGTACTTCTTTACTTATGAGTAAGATTGGGCATCAAGAATCATCTCACCCAATTCTTGAAAACCCTTTGGTTAGACATAAACACCTTTTCTTCTCCAGCAAATCCAATGAAGTCAGAGCCCTTGACTCTCCAAGAATGTCATTGTTCCTCATAACTTCTTTATCATGGCTACCATCTCTGAAGCACCTATTTAGCCACAACTGCCAAGCAGAGAAGCAGTAGTTTTTACCATGAGTCATACATTTCTGCTACTGAAAATTTTCTGATTCTTTAAAAAGTGTCTTGAGTTGGTTGCCTGTAATCCCAGCACTTGGGAGGCTAAGGCAGGAGGATTGCTGCAAGTTTGAGGCCAGCCTGTGTTACACAGTGACTTCAAGGCCAGCCTGGACTACATAGCAATACCTTATCTCAAAAATAAAAGGAAAAAAAAAAAGCATCCTGAAAGTCCACGTGAGTCAAATTCTTGCTTCGCATAGCTGATTGCAGTGGTGGTGGTCTCCTGCAGCATGGGAGGAGGGGCCTGCTGGAAATGGATTCTGAGGTCCTGGCTGCTGTTCTGTCCGAGTGCAGAAGGGAGTCTGTGTCAGCAAGTGAAAAACATGCTGTTATCTTCCCTTGTTTTGCAAAAGGTGCACTCAGCTAAACACAAAAGTGGCCAAACTCACAACTGAGCTCCAGGAGGAGCAAGAAATGAACAAATGCTTGAGAGCCAACCAGGTCCTCCTGCAGAACAAGCTGAAGGAGGAGGAGAGGTTGTTGAAGGAGACGTGTGACCAGAAAGACCTGCAGATCACTGAGATCCAGGAGCAGCTGCGAGACGTCATGTTCTACTTGGAGGCGCAGCAGCAGATCAGCCACCTGCCTGCTGAGGCACGACAGGAGATCCAGGAGGGACAGATTAACATCCCCATGGCCTCAGCCTCCAGCCCCTCCTCTTCAGGGGGCAATGGGAAAGTGCCATCCCGGAAGGGCCGCAATAAGAGGGGCAAGTGACCTGCTGAGAAAGAGTCCCTGAGACTGTCCTCCTGGCACTGCAAGCGTGTGCTGGGACCTTCAGCTGAATGGGAGGGTGGCCCCTAATAAGTACAAGTGAGGATCAAGCCGCAGTGTTTGGCTCTTTCATTTGCTAGTGTGTGGTATAGTAAAAGTAGAGGCTGCTTTCAGGAGAGCTGATGGCATGGGCAATGTTTTCAAAGGTGGTAAGAGTTCACTAACCTCAGACATTCTAATGACCATTTTGCCTTCCTGCTTGGTAGATGCCCCACTTCTGCTATGCATTTTTCTGTTGTGTTTATTGAGTTGGAATATTTGACGTTCAGTTCTCAGTAAGTTTAGACATGAAGTTTTTTTGTAACCTCAAAGGTAATGTTACCTAGCAGTGAAGCACTAAACCTCCCAAAGGTGATAGCTACTGCTTTAAAGGGAGGTTCCCAGTGGCTGCTGAGGAGCTAGGAAGGTTCCTTAGCATCAGTGTCCTATCATTGCTATCCCTCCCTTCCTCTGGGGACTTGAAGGGTTGCTTGAATGTTGTATGAAGAGAGGCTGGGTTGTAAACGAAGTACTGGCTTGTCATCAGCAGCCATCTCTTCTTCCTCTGGGGCAAGCCAGGAAAAACAAGCAGCCTGGGGCAGGTTGAGTAGACCCAGTGTTGGAAAATAGTGGCGTTCCACTTTGTTTGTTTTTGCACCTCAAATAAGAGAGGTTTAATGGCTACTCCAGGATTTAAATCTGAGTGGATTTCCTGGCATCTAGCAAGAATAAGCAAGGCACTTTATCAGCCCTGTGAAAGTGTAGAGAGAGGCTTCTGACTAGCTAATTCTGTATTTTGCTAGGATCAGTATTTTCTGAATGTTTACAAAAGATCAGGCTGCATGTTCAGGTTGCAGCTAGAGGGAGCTTGGGCAGAGTTTCAGTTATGCCTTCAAGATATAACCAAAGGCTGTTTTAAATCCTGAAATTAGAATTTCAACAGAGCCCCCTTTAAAACAGTCAGGTAATGTTTGTTGTGGACCAATAGAGGTCTGTGTATTTTCTCTTGAACCAGAAACATCAAATAATTCCTAACATGGAGAAATGGAGCAAAATTAAAGCAAGATCCACATTGGAAATGAGCTCGTAGAATAGGTAGCTGGTTAGGTTAGCAAGGGATACTGTTAAATGATGGGTCTTGTTTTCTGCTTTATAATTAGCCAAAGGTTTTGGATTTTATTTTTAAGACTTATTGGGGCCCATCCCCTTTGACCTAAATGTCTTACACGTTACTTATTAATACATCAACTGCATTGCTAATCGCATCCAGTTCTGTGGGATGTGCTACAGCGTTTCTCAGAAAACCTCACCTGTAACTGAAAAATGAATGCACTTAGACCTTTTTACTTAGGGCACACCAACACTCCATGGATTTAAATATACAGATAGCATAAAGCAAGAGTGGGAATGCAAAGCGTAACCTAATTCTCTTTCCTATAGAGATTCTATTTTATTTAAAATCTATTTTTGCACTGGTTAGAATCCTGCTGTTTTGACCAAGTACTTGTCTTGCATGTCTGACCTTGCAGAAGCTGGGGTGGATCGTAGCATACTAATTAAGAGAATTAGAAGTACTTTGCAAAGCTTGCTGCTCCTCGTCTCATTCTGATCGCCTCTATCAAGCAGCCCTGCCACCAGCTGGAGAGCAGAGTCTTTCAGCACAGGTGGAATAAAAGCTCGGGAAGGCTGTGCCCAGAGGGATGAGCAAATAGGCAAATGTTTCCAAACTACTTGAAGGTTTGAAAGAAACTTTCCATGAAAAAAAAAAAATCAAGGAAAATACTATTTCAAAAGTCAAAAAGTTACATTTGAATTTGACAAAATTAAATGAGATAGAAACTGTTAGTGTTTTCTTCTGGATGGAAATGAACCACAATATGCCCCCTACTACCTTGCACAATAAAATTGTATTAAAATAACAAACTTTGAAATTACTCTGCCAGGTGTGAAATTTGTTATCTCTGACATTTGTTTTGGGTGTGTGTATCCAATGATCTAAGAAACAGTGGCCTGAATTTAGAAGCTGAAAGTCAACTGAACATTATAGTGAACCACTAAATTTTCCATCTTTCAACCCTTTCTTCCAGCACCCTAAATTACTGAAAAGTCCCTGAACCATGGCACAGGCCTGTAATACCAGCCACTCTAGACAGGTAAAGGAGAAGGACCCCAGAGGGGGCCCAGAGGGGGAAAAAAACGTAGAGCCAGGTGTATAAGCTAGGGGAAATATCTGAATTTGGAGTCTTAGGGTAAGGAAAGACTCAGACATACAGCTCTTGAAAGCGAAAAGCAACCAATTTCATATGCCTGTGACTTTCTAGTCCCTACACCAAGCTGAGACTGTTTTTGTTTTTGTAAACAAATGTGACCTGTTAGGATACACTGAGTAATGTAAGTCACCTGAAGCTACTACCTGTCCCTGTTTGCATAGCAAAAGTGTCCTCATCCAAAGGCTGGGAAACTCATGCAGACAGCCTTGGCTGTGGTGAGCTTTTCGCACATTCCAAATGAACCTCACCCTTCTGTTGTTTGGAAAACCTGGTCCAAGGTCAATTCATAAGATTTGGTGGCCATACACAATGCCACAGTGCTTGGGCTGGTAGCATATTTTGGCTATAAGGGCATATGTTTTTTAAAAAATTATTTGTTGGGAGGAGGGTGGTAGAGTTTTGTTAAATTTCCCAGTCTGGCCTTAAGCTTGGGATTCACCTGCCTCAGCTTCCTGAGTAGCTGGGATTACAGGTGTGCACCACAACACTTGGCTGCAAAAATCGCCCTTAACATTCGTAGGAAACTTGCTCTCTCTGAGATATAGCTATAGTCCTTCCTTTTGTAGAGGGAGATTCACAGTCAGAAGGACCAACCAGCTCCTGCTTCTTTGATGCTACAGAGGACATCTGAGCTACCCAAAGACCCAGCCATCACCTTACAAAGCTTAAGGCACCACCAGGTATTCTGTGGCAGCCCTCTGGCGCCACCGCACCCCTTTCTGTCGTTCTGTGCTGGAGATGGGCCCAAAGACTTTGCATCTGCATCTGCTGGGCAAGCACCCTCCCACTGAGCTTCATCCCTGTCCCCTTTCACCATGGCTGTGAAAATCTCCACCCCACACACTGTGGATTGAACTCAGAACCTTGTGCTCGTGCAGCACCGCTGAGCTAAATCCCCGTTCTTGCTATGAAAATTCTTTATGAGGACTTCTAGAATATCTGCATAGTGCACCAACAGATGCAGCCTTTAAAGTTAAAAATTTTAAGTTACAGTGAAGCACTAAGTGACAAAGGACATGTGTCTCCTACTCTGTGATATAAACTTGAGATCTCCCCAGAAATGTCCTGTGGTCTTCCCGGAGCAAACCAAAAACATTTGCACTTGAGTATTAGGAGAAATTACATAAGGCTTCTCTCATTTTTTTAAAGAGGGGTTGTGGCCTCTTTATGACTAATGTGATACTCAACCATACACTACCTTTTCATTTTTTAATGAAAACCCTTCTTTACCTTGAGCTCCTGAAATGTGTGCTGTCCCTGGAAGGGTCACATACTCGGAGCACAAGGACTAACGTTGAAAGCTGTACTTGAGAAACCTAGGTATCCTCTTCAGGGACATGGAGTCATCTCATGTATTCCTGGAAGCAGGAGAGCATGAAAGCTGGTCTGCAGTCATTTCTTACTCTGGATTTTGCATTCTTGCCTCATTAAAGAAGAGATGAACAATCTTTTCTACAAGATGATTGCAGGCCTTCAGGGCCTAATGTTGAATGGCTCTGGGTCAAAAACATCTTACTGGAATCATCTAGCAAATGTGGATTTGGTACTTGGCATGGAGCTGTGCTGGTGCAGATAACATTTGCTACTCTAAGGCTAATGCTGACTAAATGAACTAAAGCAGCTTTGTTTCTTTTCAGACCTTGCTCTAAATCCCCTGACCCGAAACCCAAGATTGCCTCAAAATTAATGCAAGCAGGTTAGTCCAAGAGGGAAAGTGAAAGAGTAAAATCACATTCAGAATTTTGCAACCTAAAAGCTTACAAGACCCAACATCGATGGCCCCTGGTATAAAGCAAATAATAAAAGTCTGAACATAGCACTGAGCATAAGTACCCAAGGAGAGAACCAGTTCTGGTCTGGCCTCCAGATGGAGGCATCATTTACCATACTTTGCTCAGAAGCAGCAGGTCCCAGACCAAATATACTTCACACTTGTTTCCTTGTTTATAAAGGAAGAGCATTAACCTGGGCATGTAATCCCAGCTCTCGGGAGGCTGAGGCACGAGGGTCATAAGTTTGAGGGCAACCTAAGCTACCTGCTGAGATCTTGTCTCAAACAAACAATAAGAGTCCTGGCTCCATAGCTCAGTAAGTAATGTGTGCTATTGATTCCCACAGCCACCAAAAAATAATAAAGAGCCCACTGAGATTCCGTTTAGCTGTATGAATTCCTGAATGTAAATTCTCAATGACTTGGTCTCATAGGCAAAAATTTTAGACTTTTTTAAAAATTTTAGACTTTGACCAGAGCACCTCAAAAATCAAGTCCCCTGTAAAAGAATAAGGAATGAAGTGTTTCTACAACCAGAACTTACCCCATGTCACTTTACATCATTACCATAATGCTTGGCACCAAAGAACTTCAGTGCTGACTGAAAAGGAATACAAACTGATTTCTGGAGTAAAAAGAAGTAATCACAGAGAAAGACCTAGAAGTGAAGAAGAGTCAGCAGAAAATTTTTAGGACTAGAGTTTTCTCTTGGAAACATTCCAACAGAGAGCAACTAAAATGTGATTTATCACACACTTCTAGAGGGTCTCCCAGCAGCAATTTTTAAAAATAAATCATCTCTGGTTAGAGATACAGCCTTAACTGAAGCTGTACCCACTCATTTTCTGATTTGTTTATGCTCATACAGAAGCTGTGAGCTCTATTAAAAAAAAGGAATACAAGAACCATATTATACTCCCTGCCTCCCAAACACACCTGTCCTTTGGGGGTAAAAGAAAATCCTCCTTTCAAAATGCAGGCCTTGGGAAAACAGCTTCATTGCATTTGTTTCCACGCTGCAGAAAATCAACACTAACTGGCTTTGATCCCAAACCCGGCCAACTGCAGGACACTGAGGATTCTGCAGCCTGGAAGAATGCAGAGGCCTCCAGCCACCCTCCTCCCAGCACACCCGACTTCAATTATGCAGGGACATGCCTGGGCCGGGGGCTGCTGCCAGAATTCTCTTGGCCCAAACAGAGGAGGCCCCGTGTCGTGGCCCAGAATCTTTCCTGAAAGTCTGTGCAAGCTTTCTTCGTCGCTTCCTATCCTTCACTTTCATCACTGAGATTCCAGGCTGTGTTTGGCCTGAGTAATGCTAAAACTTGCTCCTGTCTTTCTTCCTCTTTGAGCTGAGTTCTGTTCTCCCTGTAGACCCTCTGCTCCTCACAGTTGTAAATAAGAATGTTTTGCTTTCAGAAACAGTCCTGAAAACGATGACCAAGTCCAACTCTTGTCCAGTAAGACCTTTTGTGGCCCACAGAGTTCACTCCTTAAAAATGTTTTTTGCTAGGGCTGGGGATTTGGCTCAGTGGTTCTGCTGCCTGCCTTGTAAGTATGGTCCCAAGTTCAATCCCCCCAATACAAAAAAAAAAAAAAAAAAAGGTTTTTGCTGAGTAGAATGGTGCACACCTGTAATCCCAGAATTTGGGAGGCTGAGGCAGGAGGTCCTAGCAAATTAAAGGCCAAGCTGGGCTACGTAGAGTCTATCTCAAAAACCAAACCAAACAAAACAGTTTTCACGTACTGAGATAACAGTCTTATAGGAACCCTTATTGGGTTACTGCTAGCCTTTGTAATGGGGACAAATTTAGAATGTCCCTCCAAGAGACTGGTCACCCCAACTAAACAACCCAGAGAGACAGAACTAAACTTCTGCCCAGTTTGGAAGAAGCCCAGAGCTGTTAGTCACCTTGCACTTGCTGAGAATCGGAATGGAAGTGAGGCCTTCCCGAAGTTTAACTGTTTATGCCAAAGCCAGCTCACATCTGCAAAATCCCTCCTTGGGGAACCACGGGCACTGCTGAGCACTTGGCACATATCATTCGTGCATTCCTAGCACATCCCTGTCAGATGTGTACACTCATCCCATCTTGCACAGCAGGAAGCCTGGGCTCAGAGGAGACAGAGTGGCACTTGGTGAGCCCTGACTCAGGTCAGCTGGCTGATAAGTGATAAAGGCACTGCTCAGTCTCGGCTTCATCTGACCCCCTAGTCTCCAAATCTGGCCTCGGCCCCACTCCACTCCACTGCCTCCTTTGGAACTTGAAAAATGTACAGGACACATTCTGTTCATGATTAGGAATTTCCTGGCCTGGTAGTGCACCTCTATAATCCCAGCATTCAGGAGACTGAGGCAGGAGGGTCTCACACAAACACGCACACACACACACACACACACACACACACACACACAAATGAGAGCCAGGCATGGTGGTGAACACCTATAATCCCAGCACTTGGGAGGCTGAGGCGAGAGGATCACTGTGAGTTGAGGCCAGCCTGGACTACACAGCAAGACCCTGTCTCAAAAACCAAAATAAGGGGCAGGGGATTTAGCTCAGTGGTGCCACCACCTGCCATGCAAGCACAAGGTCCTGAGTTCGATCCCCAGTACCAAAAAAAAAACCCCAAAAAACAAAATAATATTAACAATCACAACAACAATAACAAATAAATAATAAAATGTTAACAATCAGTAATGGATTTGAGTGGTGACTGCTCTATCTGTTAT